CCCGTTGCTCCGCTCAGGCAAAGAAGAGCCGTCATTCAGCAGGATGCATCCCCATATGCACACTAAAATACTCCTTTCTTTCTTTCCTTCTGTCTTTCACTCTCTCCCTCTGTCACACGTTAGATGACGAATTGCTCACCGCAGCCGGCCCTGTTCCCCTCCCCTTTCCTCTTCTTTGACGTAAATTATTTACCCTTTTCTTCCCTCCCTTCCCCCCCAACCACCCACCCACTCCCAGTGGCCCACAGATACATACATATATATTTACATAAATAAATAAATATATATCTGCACGTCCATATAACAGCGGGTTTTTTCTTTTATTTCACAATTCGTACAATAATAATAATAATATTATTATTATTATTATGAAACCCCCCCAAAAAAGAGGAAAAAGAAAAAAAAAAGTTTCTGCTCTTTGCAGCCGTAACGGTATTCAAAGCAGCAGAGGCAGCAATGACGATGGGAAAATGGCATCAGGCATATTTCTGAAAAAAAAGAAGAAAAGAAAAGAAAAGAAAAGACGGTCCACCCCTCCTCCCATCCCTTCCATCAGGCACGTCAAATGAGAGCCCATTCACACCATGTTGTGCGGCGGAATAGAGAAAAAGGAAAAGGAACTACAACAACAACAACAACAATAAATAAATAAATAAAATAATCAGCGAAATCAAAAGAGGAAGAACGAAAGAAAAAACGGGGAAACGACAATAAACAAAAAAACCACAGCGGAATCATAAAAAAAAAAAAAAAAAAAAAAAAAACAGGAATACGGGCACATAAACGCACATACGTATATGAAGAAAAGAAGCTCTGTATATGCATACACTACATATATGTATATATATATATATATATATAGGAGGACGCCATACCAAACACTTTTGGGACATGAAGTTTACTTGTATTACCCAATAAATGTAATGCTTGAAATACAGTACGGCAAAAATAAAATAAAATAATAATAATCATAATAATAATAAAGTAGCGAAGAGTTATTCGCAAGCAACCACTCATGAAAAAGCAAGTCATACCACTCTTATAACATATAATATATATTATAATGTATTACATGTATTATATATATATATACATAAACGTATATGTATACACACACATGCATTGTATATAAATATATATATAAATACATGTATGCATGTATATATTATGTTATATTATATTATATTATACACGTATACAAGGAAAAGCATACATCCGGACATGACAAATGCGAGATGCCCATCTTCTCCTCCTCCTACTTCCTTCTTCCTCTTCTCCACTCCATGCATTTTTCCTCACGAGTGGCAGCGGGGCCCACCCACTGCGGTGAACCCTGACGAGAGTGCATGGTGTTATTCGGTGGTGGTGAAGGAGGGGGAAGGAAAGAAAAAAAAAAAAAAAAAAAAAACAAACTTTTGCGTAAAATAAACAAAAAAAAAAAAAAAAAGGGCCCCATTCTCTCATAAATCCTCCCCCTTCAGCACCACCACCACCACCTTCCTTTTTTTTTTTTTTTCTTTCTTTCCCATCCAAAAACAAAAACAAAAAACACAAGAAAAACACACATAGCAGTCATCATCCAAAGCACCAAAAAGGAATAATAAAAAGAAAAAAAAAAACACCAAAAAAACGAGCAAAAAAAAAAAAGCAAGCAAACAGAATGCATGTACATCTCACACACGCAGGTATATATAAATATAAATATAAATATAAATATAAATT